ACTAAACTACCAAAGCATCTCCCGGTGATCAAACCCATGCCAGAGAGGTAACTGGATTGGAAGTCATCAACTCTAATCCCTCAACCACGGAGGCGGTTCCTAAGGTAATGAAATGGCACCATTTACCATGCCACGTCTCCATGAACCTATCCCAAATTTAGGCTTATTGTAAGCTAAACATTAGTTAAGGATAAACAATTTCATCCACTGGTGCTGCGTATATAATTAAACGGACAAAAACACCCAACTCTCAGTTTTACCTAGGTTTACACAAGTTCGAAAAATGAACTTAACAACCTTAATAGCATTAAATATGCAAAACCTAACTGTTATTCATTTTATATTACCAAAAACTGGCACATAAATAACATTAAACATTCTGTTTTTTATATATGCATATATAATATGGATTACTCCCAAAAGAACTCAAACTGACAGTTATCCTCAGTAACCCCTTGCTGAATCCACATTATATTATTTCCCTATAGATGTCATAACTCACGTCCCCAGTTCAGTGAGCAGAATCGTTCCAGAATTGGCTCATTAATGATTCATCTTGTTAAGCCTATCATTAGTCATGCACAAACATATTTTAAAACTAAATTAAGTTACATTATATGCTGTTTCTACAAAATACTCAGCCATAAGGTAAATATCTATTATAAAACCTAAAATGATCAATAGTACGGGCAATTATTAAATGCTGTTTACAACAAGTTTATTGTTATTTCAGCTTCACTTAAATTACGACAAATGCTGGCAACTACAGTAAATGCTATTTCAGCAATATTTTAACTTCAATGAATGCTATTTCAGCAATATTTTATAAGTACAGGAAATGCCATTTCAGCAATATTTTAACTTCAATAAATGCTATTTAAGCAATATTTTAACTTCAGTAAATGCTATTTTAGCAATATTTTAACTTCAGTATTGCAATTTCAGCAATATTTTAACTTCAGTGAATGCTATTTCAGCAATACTTTATAACTACACTAAATGCTATTTCAGCAATACTTTATAACTAAAGTAAATGCTATTTCAGCAATATTTTAACAACAGTAAATGCTATTTCAGAAATATTTTAACTACGGCAAATGCTAATTTCAGCAATAATTTAACTTCAGTATTGCAATTTCAGCAATATTTTAACTTCAGTAAATGCTATTTCAGCAATACTTTAACTTCAGTGAATGCTATTTCAGCAATACTTTATAACTACACTAAATGCTATTTCAGCAATACTTTATAACTAAAGAAAATGCTATTTCAGCAATATTTTAACAACAGTAAATGCTATTTCATAAATATTTTAACTACGACAAATGCCATTTCAGCAATAATTTAACTTCAGTAAATGCTATTTCAGCAATACTTTATAACTACAGTTAATGCCATTTAAGTAATATATTTTTTACAACTACAGTAAATGCTATTTCAGCAATATTTTGTAACTACAGTAAGTGCATAAAATTTCAGCAATATTTTGACAACAGCAAGTGCTATTTCAGCTCCATTCATTAATTTCAAAGTTATAGTACGTTACTGCAAAAAAAAGAAATAAGAAAATTTCAATAATTTGACCATCAAGGTCATTTATGAGTACAGGCCAAGGTCTGTCTGGTTAACTTGAAGGTTTATTCTAAAGGATTGTTGTGTTCAAGTTAACTGTTGGCTGCATATTCATTCATATTAATTATTTCATTATTTCATATATTTTATTACCAGAATTTTTTTAACATTTCCTTTATAAAAGCATTGTTGATTTCAATGGTCTGACAGTTGAAGATTATTTCTTTCCTGTGCGGTGTGGGATGGTGGTGAGAATTGTTTCAGTGACTTAATCACTGTGACTCACAGATGAGAGTGGAAGTAACTTTTCAACTTTTACTTAATACATGGCAGCCACAGATGCAACTTTTATAATGCCTCAATTTGGCCATAAGAAGGCATATCAGTAAACCATGTACTTGTAAAAGCTATAACTTAGATAGCAGGGGCTTACATCAAAGGGGACTGACTGGGACCAGGGTTCTAAAGTAGGGGAATTCCGCATGGTTTGGAAGAAAAAGCTGCAGTCTGTCCGTCAACAACAATACACATAAATGTTAATATTAACATGTTTTATCATGCAGAAAACAAATTTTGAAATATATATATGTTTGTTTTGTTGTTTTTGTTGTTGTTGTTTTTTTTTTTTGTTTTTTTTTTTTTTTGGGGGGGGGGGGGGGGGGGGGGGGGGGGGTAGTGGACAATATATGCTAACTGGGAACATGAATGGGGTCAAACTTCAGCTCAAAATAGTTGTGAAACTTAAGGTCCTTGATTATTACGTAAGATGCAAGAATTGTAAGTGCTTGGAAGAATTCAACCCAACAGCAGCCAAGGTCAACATATTCCAACTCAGGGAATTAAGCAACTGGTCACGGAAGCCACAAGGAACAACATGACTGGTCACGGAAGCCACAAGAAAAAACATGACTGGTCACGGCAGCTACAAGGAACAACATGACTGGTTACTGAAGCCACAAGGAACAACATGACTGGTCACAGAAGCCACAAGGAACAACATGACTGGTCACGGAAGCCACAAGGAACAACATGACTGGTTACTGAAGCCACAAGGAACAACATGACTGGTCACAGAAGCCACAAGGAACAACATGACTGGTCACAGAAGCCACAAGGAACAACATGACTGGTCACAGAAGCCACAAGGAACAACATGACTGGTTACTGAAGCCACAAGGAACAACATGACTGGTCACCAAAGCCACAAGGAACATCATGACTGGTCGAGGAAGCCACAAGGAACAACATGACTGTCACGGAAGCCACAAGGAACAACATGACTGGTCATGGAAGCCACAAGGAACATCATAAGGAACAACATGACTGGTCACGGAAGCCACAAGGAACATCATGACTGGTCTCAGTAGCCATAAGGAACAACATGACTGGTCACGGAAGCCACAAGGAACAACATGACTGGTCACGGCAGCTACAAGGAACAACATGACTGGTCACCCAAAGCCACAAAGAACAACATGACTGGTCACAAAAGCCACAAGGAACATCATGACTGGTCACAGAAGCCACAAGGAACAACATGACTGGTCACAGAAGCCACAAAGAACAACCTGACTGGTCACGGAAGCCACAAGGAACAACATGACTGGTCACGGCAGCTACAAGGAACAACATGACTGGTCACCAAAGCCACAAAGAACATCATGACTGGTCACCAAAGCCACAAGAAACAACATGACTGGTCACGGAAGCCACAAGAAACAACATGACTGGTCACGGAAGCCACAAGGAACAACATGACTGGTCACGGAAGCCACAAGGAACAACATGACTGGTTTTCATATCATCAGATAAAGTACTTTATTAGGGCATTTCATATATCACCCTGGGGCATAAAATTAACTCCATATTCAGCAAATTTATCTCTTTGACTGCGTACTTTATAAATACTGTAGTAACTGTTGTGTAGGTCTTTCTGTTTAATAAAATAAAGAACACACGGCTGTCGGGTAATTGAAGATTATTGCCAACCCTTGAACTGGCATATTACCAGTTCTCGGGTTGACAATATCCTCTATTAACCCGCCAGCCATGTGTTATTTATATATTAATAACTGACTGGAAATATTTTAATGTAAATGGTGGAAATAATCTTATAATTTGTTACAACTAAACAAGGTTAACACCACAAATAAATATTATTGGACGATAATTGAGTAATTGCCCAGAGAAATGTATAAGTCGATTGAGGAATGCTATAATAACACAGATCTGCTTAACGCTGAAAGAAATTTCCTGAAGAGCACTCTAACTTAATGTCATTTAAAACTTATCGCTTTCAAATTTTTATAATATTTTCAATTCATTCTTGGACCCCTTTCACTTATATATAAGTAATAATGCATGGACTTAAGATAATATAATGTTTGTTTTACTCCTTCTCAAAATGTATGTTTTGTTCCTAATCAACATTTAAAATCTTGATTATCAGTAAATAAAATTGCTGTAAGCCACCTTAAAGGCACATTTTGACTCAGAAACCAATAGTTATCTTTAATTCTTTAGAAAAATGTGAAACATGTGTTTAAAAACATTTTATTAATATATTTAGAGCATGATTGATGTTTAACAACTGAAGAAAGTTAGGTGCAAAATGTGAAAAATTATTGCGTCATAAAGGTAGCAAATTGAAAACGACTTCCATACAACATACTAATTCACTATGATTTTGCCACAAAACAAAATGAAGTAAAAGGTAGTTCATTTATATGACAAATATAGAATTCAATTACAAACTGTAACAAGATACCAAAAGTAAAAGGTTTTTAGAGAAAATAAAATTGATAGCACTTCAGAGGCATAATGGGCCTTTAACCATTTGAATTTGGACCTTTGCCAGCCAATTTTGTGCATTGGACTAGTCTTGCATTAAATATAGAACAGTCTATTGTTTGAAATGGGGATTTCTGATGACTTTTACCAAAATTAATAGAAATCCATATTTATAAAATTCTTCACAAATGTTTAAATACCTGTCTGTATGTCTACAATAATTTTAATAAAATTTTCAAGAAATGAAATAAACTATACATATAACAATATAATAACAAGAAAATTAATTCAATTGTTTTGAACCTAACTTTCTGAAAATATAAAAAAACGTCAAGCTTCATAGATTACAAAATAAACACTTGGTCAATTAATCAATTGATCAATGCTTATAAAACAACTTCAACTTTATGATGCAACAATAACTGAACAATGATATTTATAAATCAAAAGTTAAAATGATGAAATATTGAAAATTATCAAAACTCTGGAAACTCCAAAAATGCCAAGCAAACATTTTACATAAGACTAGCAACAAACAAAATGCTTCATCTTAAACAAGAGCCACTGCAAATTGGAGCCACACTCACTTTTTTCCCCATTTTTAACATTCAAAGTTAAGTTTTTAACACGATGCATACCTTCTTTGTCAAGGTGCCTGTCTGAAATTGAACACTGAATAACTTGAGACATTTTCGGATCAATTTTATGTATGTATACATACATGTATTATGCTTAAAACAAACATGCAATGACATAGATCGCAAACCTTTATCATTACTAGATCATTTTAAATTCAATGAAGTCATATATCCTAGCTAACAAACATCAAGTGGACGGCCCTGTATCAACATAAAATGACCAAAATGGTATTAAGTAAGCACAAAAATGACCTAAATACAAATGTAAACAAAACTTTTGAATACATTAACTATTTGAAAAGAAAATATCTGTAATTCACCCACTGTAGAGTTCTGTTAAACACAAACATTTGACTGTACGCCACTTTTCAAGCCCTTCAATATCAAATAATGTAATTAAGCTTTTGAGACTTGTTACATAACTAATCTTTCGTCTCAATACAAGATAACACAAGTTCTGACTTCTTCTGACAATTATTTCTCAGATAAAGGGCAGGTCTTTTCCTTGCCATTTTGGGAAAAAGTACATTGCCAGGTTTGGGAATTTTTGCGTTATAAATTTGCTTAATTGGAAAAAAATATTTGGTACCTCTTGAAACCTCCTTCATTCTTTTTTGGAATAGTATTTTGAATTGTGCAACATTGTTTATTCCAACCAATGCAAATATCATGCAAAGTGACACTGACACAAAGGCATGTAGGGGGAGGGGGGCGGAGAGAGGGGACATAGATCTTAAGTTAAGAACTTACCCCTGTTGCGAAATCATCCGGTAAACTGTAAGTTTCATTATGATCTCTGTTCATGCCAAGACCACCGTAATCAGTAATACTTGTCTCCCCTGTCTGGTTCAGCTGCGTTGGTACGCTATGACGCTCCACTTCTTCGAGACGTTGTTCTGCTTTATGTAACTGAAAATATACGTCGGTAAAACCTTCAAAGTTAAGAACATATGAGCCGTGTCACGACAAAACCAACATAGTGCGTTTGCGACCAGCATGGATCCAGACCAGCCTGCGCATCCGCGCAGTCTGATCAGGATCCATGCTGTTTGCTATCAGTTTCACTACTTGTTATAGACTTTGTAAGCGAACAGCATGGATCCTGATCAGACTGCACGGATGCACAGGCTGGTCTGGATCCATGCTGTTCGCAAACCCATTATGTTGGTTTTGACATGACACGGCTCATATTGTAAAAAGATACGGAAGTCACACTGCTGTCATCCTCGGCACATATCGTCACCTTAATGCAGTAACTGATAACTCCTATTAAATTACATAAGGAGTTATCTTGTTACTGCACTAAGGTGACAAATTATAAAGACACATCAATGTCGCAGTAGGGCTTGATCTTGGGATCATAAAGTTAAAAGTTTAATTAGTAATTTGTTTTTGCTCCTTTGGACAATGTGTGCAAGTCATTTATGTCTGCATAACTGGATAATTTATAAGTTGTAAATTTGAGAAATTGATAAATGAGTTATAACACCAGCAAAGTATGATATTTAAGACTACACATTAAAGTTAATTTGATATTGAATTTCAAGGTCTCTTTAATGGACCATGACCACATTCAATATGCAAAATGCAGCTCTGTTCTACAAAACATCTCTGTTTGGAATAATTAATCGAGGTGTTTGGAATAATTAATAAAATAATGCTAAATTTCTTCTTAACTTTATAACTTTTGAAATTTGCAGGCAATCAATTTTTTTTAAATGATAGTCAATTAAAATGTCAAGGTCAAATTTTAAAACCTTTGTCCAAAATGTATATAATAATTATGTCCCTGTAGGAAGGATGTAGATAACAAAGATAAAAGTTGCACAACAGACAGGACAAACTGTTTATAATGCATGTGATCAGTGCTATATAATGCTGAGCTTATAAAATCCCAATATTTTAAATAGGTTAATGAATTTATACAGCTGATAAAATTAATGTTTGTTTGGTTTGGTTTTATGCCAAACAGTTTAGTTCATATAGCACCAAAACAGGAAAGATGATTTTGGCTAACCCAAGTGTTAAATATATAAACTTAGACAGGGGCGTAGCCAGAATTTTTAAACTTGTAGGTCCATAAAAAGGGGTCTTGGGGCTTAGCCCCGGATGTCAAAAACAAGCTCAGATTAAAAAGAGCAAAATGTGCTTCCAAAGTGTTTTCAAAGGAAATTATCAAAACAATAATTTTAAACTATGAATTTGATAAGATGCAAACTTTACTAAGGACGGTAAAGCATGCATATAAGCCTAAAACACACTTGATCTGACCATAAAGCTTGAATCCACTACCAACCCCACCCCATCTCTTTTATTGTATTTTTGGGACTTTTGAAAATGTCAATTTCTTGACCAACTTGTAGGCCCCAGCCTACATGGCCTTTTAGTAGCTACGCCACTGTTAAAAGCCACAACGAGGGTCAAAACCACCTCACATGCTGAAGATTAGAGATGCATACACTTCAGAAAGTCAGCCCCATTTAGTCACCTCTTATGGGTCATGCAGGGATAAATTGTGGCTGCACTTCAGATGCCTCAAACCTTAAAAATTAACCCCTCTGCAACAAGAGGGTATATCTGATAAGCACCTGCATGAAAACTAAACAGCAAAATTCAATGATTTGAAAACTGAAGTCTACAAGAATGAAGATAAGTCAAATGTTACGCTCACTGTAATCATATACTTTTAAGATATACCAGTTATTTTTTCTTCAAAACAAGTCAATTGTAGGAGGTACATGTACTTTAGGTATGGAAATACCCAATCCTATCTAAACTAATATGCCACTACGTGCCAAAATATCAAGAAATCAACACATCTGATCAGCTTTAAATATTCAATTCAATTAATATAACATTCACAATACAATTAATTATACACATTATTTTTTTTGCCATTTTTTCGAACAAAATGGTTGATATCCCATGACCTTTTTGCCCTTTAATATAGAAGAACACTTAACATCTGTTGATGATTTTTTGTCTTCAGGTAACACATTTGGCTAATAGTATTTCATAATTAAGATTTTATTATGATAACTTTATGAAGCCAAAGTTTGTATGTACAATGCAAGAGATTACGATTGGACTAATATGACTCTCCTGAACAGATATAAGAAATCATGAAAAATGTTTTTGCTCACCTAGGACAACAGCTTAACATAGGTGTTCATTATCTAACACTTAATATTGTTGTTACATAATGGAAATATTTCATAGCAGTGATGATAAAAAAAAGTCAGAAAAAAATCGTGCAATGGGCATTTATAAACACGACACTCAGACCAGAACATATAATTTACTGAAATCATTTAAACAGGTATGAAATGGAATGGCAAACAAGTCATTTTCCATGTATTGTTGATATTTATCGTCCAATATAGATACATTAATGATATGCTCTGCACTGAAAAAGTAATGTTAGCTACATAGCATCTTGACAAAATAAACAGATATTGGTACTATATACCGTGTAAGTGTTTTTTTCTGCGGGCTCCAAATTCTGCGGTTTTTCCAAATACTGGCATGTTTTTTAACCATTATAATTCGTTATTACTTTTAAAATTTAGATGAAACAGGTCATTATGCAGTGCAGGTTTAAAAAACAAAAAATGGAAAAATATTCTGCGGTTTTTATTTCTGCGGTGCTGAAACTGACCGAGAATACGCAGAAATTATATATTTTGATGTATGCATGTATAGGTCATGAATGTCCCAACATTCCATCATCAACAACAATTCACAGTAGCTCTTTGAAAAAAAGGGTCTAAAAATAGAAGCTGGCTAAGTTCATTTTATGAAATCCATCAGGTCAGGTCAAAGGTTCATGCTTATAATGAAATGTAAAGCTTACCTCAGTCTTAGCTCTGTTGACTGTATCCCAAGCTTTTGTCAGTCCTGAAATGGCGTCAAAATACATGTAAACCATTTAAGTACCATAATCCCCTGCATGTTCATTAAATTAAAAGCTAAAAAACAAAGAGTTTTGGTTCTACCCTCTTTTCTATGATTTTAAGATTTATTTTTTAAAGATTTTTTTTTCATTTTCCTATCTGCTTTTTCAAAATCTAAACAATATATCATATATATGCATATATGCATGGAATTCAATTGTATATAACATATAAATTTATATATAAAGACTCAGCCTCCTCCCCCTTCCCTCCCCCAACCGAAAGTCATTCCTGTATTAAGTTTGGACAAAATATTCCTAGTAGTTTGGGACGAGATATTGAATGAGATGAGATAAAGACACCTCATAGATGAGATAATGAGATATAGACAAATATGTGATAATAAACTCCACTCACATTTTCAGATTATCTCCCATTTCTATATTAGCACGTAACTATATTATCTAAGCAGTGCCGTTAAAAAGTATACTTACAAGAGGAATTTTCTCAATTTGAAACTAGCTAAACAAACGTCAAACAAAATGGACCAATTGTTTGGATTATGTACACAACCAAACAAATGCGACAATAATTAATTGTTTAGCACAATCCATTTACCCGATTTATTTCCACCTTCTGCGTATGCATGCAGCAAATAATTAAAATTTCAAAGCAGTTCATTGATTTCATAACGTCGTCTGCAACTCTAAAAACTTTAATTTAACCCTTGCCTTTATCTTAAATGGACCTGGACAAAACCATTTATCATTTTTTGGGGGGAAATTTCATGTCTTTGCAGTTTGACCAGCTGGACAGCTACAAATTTTCATTTTTATATATCATTTTTATGTATCCCCTAAAACAATAATGGACAGTTTGAAAAATGGAAAGCGAACAAGCCCATTAGTAAGATTCAGGGTTAATCAAGTCTTATGCTGCAAGTTAAGAACAGCAGAACATTATATTGTGATTTACAAAAGCATCCTCCATGAATTGCCTTTTATTTAAGATACTAAATAGAATTCTGTTTTCACTTTTAAAGAGAAATGATGGCAGGACCCATGGAGAAGGGAAACTTGTGTTGCTGAAAGGAAAAAGGGGAAAGCTAGAAATGAACTAAACAGATATAAATTTCAGCCCCAAATTGATGCTAAAAAATATTACTGCTAAGTAAGGCAAGATTTAATTTACTATATGATGAAACAGAACATTTTGGTCTTCAATACTGTCATTGAAACTTAAAATTGAATTCAACATGGCTAGAAGTTTGGCTATAACATATAGTAATATAGCAGAGGAAAACAAACTAAAAGATAAGAATAACCAGCTCAAATCAGAAACGGGCATGTTGATAACCTTATCATAAGCAACAGAACGTAAATATTAAAAGTTGAAATAAATAACCAATACCCCGTCACTTTCTAACCCATAAATAGAACAAATTTATCAAGATTTTGAATAATTATTTGTATAAACCAATTACAGAATCAATAAAATCAAAGTCGAGCTGAAGTGCCTATCGGCTGTTGCTATATTATTTTCAATTAATGAAATATAAAAAAAAAATTCCGAAATATAAACGATTAATCGCAACAGTATAAAGGGTATCAGTGGTATTTGGCAACGGTCTGCTACATTGGCGACTTGAACGATTGATGATAACTAAGCTTATCACAGTGTAAATTTGCCGTTGTGCCAAAAAAAAAAAAAAAAAAAAAAAAAAAAAAAAAGAAGAATCAGGAGCTCCCCAATTTTGGAGATGGGCCAACACTTTTTTTGAATGCTTCAGTAATAAAAAAAAGTTCTACAAAAAAACCCAAATATATAACATTTTTGTTATGACACATCAGGGGTAATGTCATTATATCTTTAATCAATAACTTGTTCATTCTTTCAAACACCCCCTTCGCCTTCATTGATTCAGATATTTCGCTTTTTCTTTTCATGAATTTTTAATATCTAATACTGATTTGTATTTAATACTTTGAAAGCGAAATATTTAACTTGTGCTATCTATGTGCAAACAATTCTTTAAATTATATAAATTCAATAGAAGACTACTTATTTTCTATTCAACAGCTTTAAAAAAAAAAAACATTCCCATTTGATAAATTTTTTACCCTTTAATCCTATGCTGAATACTATAGAGAAGCAGATTCAACCTGAACAGTTTATATTATGATGCTGGTTTCTTCTTGGATATTATATTACATCTACATTCCCCTTAGATCAATCAAAGTAGAAACTTTCATTTCAACTTTAGTTATTAAATACATATGAACATTTAAAATGTTACAACCGTGTCACAAAAAAATTAGCACAAATATTTTCACCCACACTTGTGCAAAAACAAATTCTACCTACATGAAATCTTCGCAAATGACCACATCTAAAACCAAACATGTGTTTTAGACCTTTTCCAAAACTGCCTGGGTGTTTAAGACTCAAATATAAAAGTTCTGTATGTTTTACAGTTTTACACTTGAGGTTTTATCGGTATTCTTTTGACCTACAAACTTACCGAACAATATTTAATAAAATTTATAATGAATCTTATTATGGTAGCATTCATCACAGCTTTCAAAATGTCCTAATGTACTATCTGTGCTTTGCTTCAAAATCACTTGCATGCTGTACAGTGCCCAATTTCTGCGATTATTTGAAGTTGGTAATTCTCTTTTCTGATGATGCAGTAGACTGATAATTTTTCATCGTATTTTCTAGGGGTGTCACGTTTAAACGGGTACGGTCGTTTTTTAACTAAAAACCGGTTAGAAAATTCAATAGCCGGTAACCGAGATTAGTATTTGACTAAGGAGTGGAAAAGTTTTAAACTAATTCTAAATTTTACCATAGGTTTTTTTTATGACAAGATATGACAATTGTTTGTATTTTAGTTGTACTCAACGATGTAATTTTTCTGATCTGATCGAAAAATCTACAACCCTAGCTGAAAATAGTTACTCCATATTCGGATATTTATGTAATCATTTTGAGTACAACAAAATATGAACAAAATGGCATATCTTGTCAAAAAGAAACAAAGTTAATGTTGAAAATCAAAGGATTTTATTAGTAGGGTCGGTTAAAAGTTTAACACAGATTTTTCGTTGCCGTTTAAAACGGTTAGCATTTTTCTAACCGTGACAACCCTAGTATTTTCCAATTTACGAAAACAGTAGTTTGACCTTTCTTCTTTTATAACATGTGTATTTACTTTCTCAACTCATTAAAAAATATCTATAGAGAGAGTAAAGTGCAAAACTATGAAAACAGCTTGTCTAATGATGAAAATGATTCATTTTATAAATCGGAGTCATTTTACCTTTTAAGTTTGACAAGATATAGAGTTTCTTATAATTTTACAAGATTTAGTCTAACATATTTTTTGCAACTTACAATATTGAAATACCATGCACAATTGGAGATTCCTCGGATAAAAAGAGCACTTACACATAACATTATGTAAAACAGTTATTTTGAACTAAAAAAAAAAACAACAATATTTCAAACAAATGCAAACACATCATGTAGAGTAGATATGGAATGGCACACACATGTAGCAGTATGCAAACACCTGCAGCACCAGAAAAAAAAGAGTAAAAATAAACAAATGTTGCTGCATTCACTATTTGACAGTAACACTACATGCTTACATGGCAAGATGTTGATAGTTTCAATAATAGTTTACGTCAAATTTGGTAGATAAACAGTCTTCGAAATTAACGCCAGTCCGAGGCCCGAGGCCACTAAATTTAGCATCGGTCCGGTGATTATAGCAAGGTTGGTGGTCCGACGGACCTATATTTTTTTTGTCATGAAAAAATATTATAAGAAAAATTCATCAAAATAATGAAGCAGGGTTCTCTAAAAGATTGATCTTTTTCCCTTTTTTGCAAATGAAACCCATCAATTCTGTCCAAAATGTTCAAAACACAGCGAGAGATGTCTAAATTGTATTGAGTAATGGAGGCCGCCATTTTTTTCTTGGATATTTTCCGTACCGCACCGTAGAGTTACAGAAATTAAACCATTGTTTATTATGGTCATTATTTAGCTATGATTTTGTGATTATTGAGTTAAGTAAATATTTTGTATGAAAGTGATTTGTTTGAAGCAAATTGCGTTGTTCATGTTCAATTCTAGTCAATTTTGCCTAAACATTTGGTTCTTAAAGATTTTTCTAAGCTGTCAAAATATGGCCAAGAATACAAGACATATTATGCTTCTTTCAAAATTATCAAGGGAAGCATAATAAAGTGTTTTCCTGTTCCCATCAATTTATTACCTATCTATGTATTTGGTCCGGCTAAAAATCACCAGGTCCAGTAAGATTTGATATTTTACTGGCCCGAATGTCCTGTGCTTTTTAAAGTTTTTCGTGAAGACTGGATAAAATGAGTTTTTATTTTAAAAGAACCTTTTCTTCAAAACCAAGCTTAACTCTGTTTTCAGTGACATAAATCTTGAAGAATTTAGCACTTTAGTCTCCAACTGATTTGAAGCGAGGCATCTAATATGAGCCGTGCCATGACAAAACCAACATAATGGGTTTGCGACAAGCATGGATCCAGACCAGCCTGCGCATCCGCGCAGTCTGATCAGGATCCATGTTTTTCACTATCAGTTTCTCAACTTGCTATAGGCTTTGTAAGCGACAAGCATGGATCCTGATCAGACTGCGCGGATGCCCAGGCTGGTCTGGATCCATGCTGGTCGCAAACCCATTATGTTGGTTTTGTCATGACGAGGCTCATATGTGCTTCAGGTGTGCCGTGAATACACTAACATTGACCAACAGAATCATTTGCCAGCTTGGTGGTTAACATGTTGCTTCATATTCCTTAAGGGACATAATTCATCTTAACTGTTCAAATAAAATATGTGAGAGTTATTCCCCTTCATCTACAGATGGTTCATATTTCTTAAGGGAGGTAATTCATCTAAATGTTCAAATAATATATGTGAGAGTTATTCCACTTCATCTTCAAATTTACTTTATATGTTTCATGTATTAAAGGAGGGCATTCATCTTAATCATTCAAATAAAATTATTATGTCAGTTATTCCCCTCCTTTTAAAAAAATAACAAACAAAAAAAACAACAAAAAAAGCCACAATTGTTTCATAGCAACGGTAATATTTGTGCATCAGTAAAAAGAAAAGAAAATTTTGAGCAGTATTTTTTATTTTTCTCTTACTTATGTATATGTTACTTAATCAGTGCACAATAAAACTTGAAGTTTATAATTAATATGACCAACAAAATGTAGGGGTTTTATTACCACACAGTAGCAAGATAAAATCCTTTGTAATTTCGTACGGGTCATCTAGCTTATTATAGTAATTTCTTTTTGATTCCTTTGTTAAATCCACACTCTTCCAGAATCCTACTAGTTTTCATGAAAATTTTGAAAATGTATTTAATAAGGAAAATATTGTGAAGTGAACAAAGCAAATAATTAACATATTGCAAACGGCACTAACAACCCATGTAAAAAAACTAAAAAGAGGTCAAAATATATAAAAACAGCTCTGTGTTAGTAACACAGAAGAATAAGTATTGTGAAGAAATACTACTAACCAGTCATTAACATAACACAGAAATTATTACTTTTATCTTGAATCTTTTTTCTTTTCTTAAATCTCAGTTCATTTTTCTCAAGTTTGTATTTTTGGTACATTCAACTTTAATGGAACCTAATATCTACTTTCTTTAAATGAAAACAACCCAATGCTTTTCAAATAATATGAAACCCTTGAAAATGTAATATTTATGGGGTTCAGTTGGGGGCGGAAAATGCATAATGAGCTAAAATTAAACATATATCAAGGGTTTTCATTTATATCTGAGGCAACAGATGTGCCAACAAAAACAACTGATTTGCCTACAGGTATGGGGGACAGTTTAATATAAAGACTAAAATTAAAACGATTTTCAAGACTAACAGACTATATGGATAGCCAATCTGTAATTAACAAAAACCCTGTATATTCCTATTTCTTCCTAATCAGTAAAGCATTTGTCAAGTTTTGAAGAGAACTTTTGGTCTGTTGAGTGGACTGCTGTAAGGTAATATTATCTCCCATCTCCAAAGAATTATCTTTCTATATGGAGAATGGATGTCTCATTGTAACTTAACAACTATCATGTTTCCTATGTCTGGAATATTTTATAACAATAGCTGTCACTACTAAGACAACATTCTCTACATTTCTCAGTGTTTGACAGTAAGAAAAGGGAAAGGGATATAACTCTGTAAAAAGCCAACTCAAAGTTGATAGACCTGTGTTTATCATGTTAGATATCATAATCACAGAAAACAAGTGTGTGAAGTGTCTACATATTCCCTTTAGTAGTTTAGGAGATACCAACTTAACACGCAAAAACTTAACCAAAGTCTCACACAGACACTCACATCAGGGTTCGACACTAACTGTTTTAACAAGGGATCCCAAAGGAATCCCTGAGATTTAATTCAGGGATTCCTCCTAAATGTCAGGGATTCCTCAGATCAAAATAGTAAAATATAAAGGCGAAGAATAACAAGGGAGTGCAGCAATCCGATTTCAAATTCTTTTTTTAAAGACCACATACATGAATTATATTGCCTTGTTTCAGATGCAGAAAATGTAGTTTATGAGCCCTTTGGGTTTTTTGTTTGCTTGGATTTTTACGACATGTCAACACATAACTGGCCGTATGAGCCCTTTGGAAATATTGCTGTTTAAAGTTTTAAAAGTGTTTCAAAGTGTTTACTTTACTAGTATATAATAATTGGACTGCTAAGATAAATTAAAACATAATACATTTTTTACATGCACGTAAACAGAATAACATTATGCTCACCCACTGAACAAGAGTTCGATTTGAAAATAAAACCCGTTTTTCTCCCTGGGGTTGATAATTGTGAACCTGTTTCTGTAAATGAAGGTATAATGCAAGTGCCTGGGCAATGGACTTAGGTTTGAACTTTTGAAGTTAAGTAGGAACTGGGGAAACATTTTTTCAGATAGCCTAGGGTTCACTGAAATAGAGCCAACATATCATCTGTAGATCTTTAAAAACTTACAGGTAATGATTAGGCTCCATACTCCTGTAAGTTCTGGTATGGATAACTTTTAGAAAATATTTACTTTCATGTCATTTAAAAAGAAATGTTTAATTATGATCACTTTAAAAAAATAAGTGATTTTCAGCTTACTGTACACTTTTTGTGTTTAAAAGGAAATATCCCATAGATTGTTATAAATTAAATATTTTGTTGAATTTTACTAAAGCTAAAATATCAAGAAAAATGTTTTGTTTGCATTACAAGTAGGGTACCTTCAAATGATTTCGTTTTTAAAAGTAAAAAGTTGCTCCAAGTATGACAGGATGTGTAAAATCCAAATTTATTGTTCTCAATTTTTACACTGAAATGTCCGATTCTTTTCCTCCCTGTGTGTATTGATTTTTTTTTAAAGTTTTGACATATGCCACATCAAAAGGCACTCACCGCATACAGGCAGTCATGTAGTTCAGAACACTGATTGGTCCAAAGAACTGTCAGATGAAATATACGTCATTTGGTGTATGTTTCACCTAAGGATTTTTCTTCTTTTTTTGTCGGTAAATTATGCCGTGACCTTGATTGACCCTAGAACACTTCAGTCTTTAGTTAGACAATATTTTTTAGCATTTAAGGCTGCAGAGTTTCAAAAGGATTTTAAAACTGAAAAGTATGGATTCTTTTTATTCTATTTATTAATTATACTTTTGCAGTACTACAGGGAGAAAAAAAAATACATCAGTAATTTTGTTTTTTTTCACTTTTTTTTACGAAAATTTACAATGATCACAATTTAAATGCTGAATTATGGTACACAAAAAAAAAACCAAACACGTACTTGTTAACTTCGTAGCTACCGCCGGCAACGCCGATCTGCACATATTTGAAGTGAAAAAATTATACGATAATTATATTTCTTTCTTGAATTTTCAACAACTTAATATTATGAAGTCAATGCATGATATAAAATTATTCAAGAATGTTTCTTTAGCCAAAATTTTTCATTATATATCGCAATGAGTTGATAGCAGTCCACTGCACGAAGGAAATCTGGCGTGCGTAGATTTTACCCGGCGGGATTTTTTCTCTTCTTTCTTGAACATTGCAGTTGTGCCAGTCTTTATTAACACTTTTCTGAATATTTGTGATTCAATGATATTAATTCAGACAATTTCAAAAATTTACACAGCAATTTTTCAGGGATCCCAACGGAATCCCCAGCTAGGAATCACAGAGATTCCTCCCGACTTTTTGGGATCCTCGGAATCCCGGGATCCCGTTAATGTCGAACCCTGCACATCTGAACGAGTAAAAACGCTTTCTAAGTTCTTCGAATAGTCGAGCTAACATTACTTACCTGGTTTTGTGTCATAAGATAAGGTTGTCCCCTGTACAACAGGATCAGTCACCTTCCTACCTCTAATCATGTTGATATACTCATTTCACAGTCTGAAAATATAAAAATTAAATTGATTAGTCCATGCCTTTTCAAAGTGTCACCACAAGTCAGATAACCTGATCCATTCCCAATGGCATTAATTGGCTTATCGATTGGAAATTTATTGCGAAAAGGTGTTGAAATATTGTTTTTATCAAAAAAGTGTTATTTTAATGCCACTAATAGTTATTATTAAGTGTTATTTTAACACTAAGTGTTATTTTAATGCCACTAATGAAAATAGTTTGTTATTGTTTTTCGTATCGCATTATTGCTCCAAAGGAATGGTTAAACTTAGCTCTTTTCTAAGCACTTCCCTAGTTTTTATAATCAACAGATGATGCATACAAGACATATATTAACTCACTTGCAAAATTTCATATTAGCAAGACTTAAAGGGCTACCCTTACTTATTCTGTCTTAAATTCCGCCAAATTTCCTCCATTGCATATAATTATACCGTGGACTTTTTTTGGTAACATTGACCATTTTGTGGCCACTTCGTAGCAATAGCAACCATATTGAATTTGTGAACAGTTATTAAATGAGACATGTCAAAGGGCTTGCGCTCACACTGACTTCTGCTGTAATGCAAAGGCGTAAAGTGAAAGTCTGTAAGTGCAGAGCTCCAGATAGCGTGCGTATAAGCGTAAAATACGCATAGAAAATCTAAAATACGCATCACTTTCAAAATTCATGCGTCACAGTTACGCACAACAAAATGAAAATACGCTCGTATGTCAAAATTTATGCGTAAAAGAATAAAAGTGTAAACATTTGATATGTAGAAAGAAAATTTTTTGAGCATAAAATAAAATATATTTCCATTTAATTGCATTGAAAACTAAAAATTCTGTTGTCAACAACGCATGTTAAAAACGAAAGTAGCAGGAAATACAGAAAGGGAGGTAACTCCCGTAGAATCTATCAACCTGTGAAATTATTGATGAAATTTGTGCCAGATAATCAATCGTAGGAGTTTAACACAGTATTAAGTTTGTTTTAGGCATCTATTGACATACTCAATATAAACAAAAAAATATATTTTTAATAAAATTTCTTTAACTTTAGTTGTTGGAACAAAATAACATGTTATTCACCTGCAGTTTTGTAACTCAATATTTTTCGTACCCAGTCTACAGTTACGGACAATTTTCTCTCAGACCAAAAATTTTTTTAAGGAAAGATGAAAAAATCTTGTTATGTTTCTTTAATTCTAATTTCAACATAATTGTTCAAACTGGAGTACATGATAAGGTACATGCCAAACAAAAAATAAAGAAAGAAAAATATTGACTCCTAGAAAATAAAAATAACTTGAGGGCTTCCACTAGTGGAAGTTTGGGAGTCTTTTACTCCTTCAATTGGCCTGTGACTTCCAAAAATCAATACTTTCCTTCTTTACCTATATAATGTGACTTCCAATATCAAGAGATTTGAAGTCTTTGAACTTCCAAATTTTGAAAAATGGAAGCCCTGAATAATTTTGCTGTGTATCCTAAACTTGAGTTCCAGTATACTCTGGAAGTCTGACTTTACATGGCATGTTTTGTATTGTTTCACATTAAATCAGTATTTAATCTGTAAAGGTTTTTCTAAAAAAAGAAAATAAACAAACAAATAAATACCACAATTTCTAAAAAAAGAAAATAAACAAACAAATAAATACAACAATAAGTTTAATTTGTTTATAAAAAATGCAAAATGCTTTTTTGACAGATTTTACCCCTTAAGTTTTTCAGAATTTGCATTTTACCCCTCACACTAAATTTTGAGGGGTAAAAACCCCTTGGCCAAAAAAATTATCTGGAGCTCTGTAAGTGTGTAACATACTTATATATACAGTTCTGGCACTCCAAAATTTTAAGTCACTTTCAGCAGATGTGTTCTGTCACAATATCAGTATAAATGTTTATATGCTTAATACCTTACTGGTCAGGGACAATGTAGGAATAACACACGTGTTCAATAACTGTAGGAACTATACTGTTCAATAACTGTAAGAACACAGTGTAGATTACGTGGGTGGCTGAGAGAGAACACGTAAATAACGGGTGTTCACTTCAACTGTTCACACAAATTACAAAAGACACTACGACACAGGCGTAATGGGCAGCTTCACTAAGTTTGGGCAACAAAAAGATGCAATTCACGGCGCTATATTTTTTCACTTTATTCCAGAAACAACACATAGTCTAAGGAGTATATAGTGTATCCTAACGTATATAGCGTATATAGCGTATATGGCGTAGAATAGCGTTATCTGAAAGTTAAACAGTTATACTTCCATTAATAACAATTAAAACAACATATCAAAGAATGCATACATACTTTACAAATAAACAAGTTCCATAATTATATAATTCATCCCTTAACAAATACTGTGGGAAATCCTCTGCTAGTAAAAATGTTAACAAATTTATTAATTGAATAGAATTAGCAGATTAATTTACTTTTACATCAAAAGTTTTAACTAAGATACAGCTTTATCTATCTTAACATAAAAATTGTTAATGTATTTACCTTAACAATAAATAAATGTAATTATTTATGAACAAAAATTATTTTAACAATAATTTTTCCCCGAACGAAGGCAAATAAAAAAACAAAAATAAACTTACTGAACAATGGTAATCTGTGCCGAAACTTAAAAAAATAGAAATTCACAAAGATTTGTAACTTCACATTCGAAATCTTTAATTTTCAAACTGCGCCTTAGGAAAGGCGGCAAATCTTGCATTTGCATATGATTATTATTTCTAGGGACAGTTTTTTTGACCAACCAAAATGCAGGAATCGCCCTCTAAGAAAATAAAAAGTAAAATTTGATTTTTCTAAATATGGGGATCATTAATTACTAGGTAACGCTATAGTCTTGGCAGGACCAGAGGCGCACTAAAATAACACTGCGCTGGACAGTTGGCATGATTATTGAAATCAAAAACAATTATCTAAAACATTTTAAAAACCGGTCTCTGATAATTAAAACCAGCACCAAACATTCGGAGTCTCGGAACACCGGCCCTCAATGAACTTTTTTTACATAAGTTCATTCTTATATATTAAGGGAAGACGAAGAAATTTAATACTCGTTTTGTAATAATCAAAACCATTCACAAGTTCTAGAATTTATACTAAATCTAGATTATGTTACACATATATACACTTTTTTAAAATATCGAAAATGTCTTAATAGCGAGGCAAACAAAGTCGCTCATTAAACGTTAATTCATTGCTGACTATTGTTATCAGTTAGCATGAACGATTTCCTGTTCCAATACACATAAAATCACGTAATCGGTTCCGTACTTTCACGGACCCATTTTACCCTGACCTTACATGACCTTACAAGTCCGTCTCTACCTTTGTTTACTTCCAGAACGAGGCCTAATGGCCATTTGCCCCGAGATAATTGCTCGTCGCAGACGAGAACGAGGTCATTTACGGACACATTCCTTTTGAATGTTATGCCATTTTTGTCTTACCTGTAAGGTCGGCAGATATTTCTCGAACCGACCTTTTCCAGAAAACATTCGCTAGATACTGTACCTGTCGCCACCAGCGTTTACAATAAACATCTCGCTTATCAAATAAACCTGGTGGGAACCGAAGCATTTGGTCTCATAATCAAAAGTTTTATTTGGGGATAAGGGTTCTGGGTCCCTTTGATCAACTACTTACCTGGGTAATCGGTCTATCATTGAGAATCTTTTCTATCTCTGTAACTAAAAGTAACAGAGCCTCATCGTTGAAGAAGTTGTTCTCCAATGACTGATTTTATAGCCCTTTTTGTGGACCGTACTAACCGTTCCCAAATACCGCCCATATGAACTTGCGATATGGAGAGATTAAAATGCCATTTCGATTTCTTGCTGTTGACACTAATTTTGCGAGTCGACTTTGATTAAATTGCCGAATGCCATCACGCAAAAACTCTATCTCCAGATCAAAATTTTTTCCATTGTCACTGAATATTTTTTCGGGACGGCCTCTACGACTTACAAACCTTTGCAGTGCACAGATGAAAGAGTCCGTATCTAAGCTATGAGCAATTTCAATGTGCACTGCTCTGGTGGTCAAGCACGTAATATAACGCCGTATCTTTTCAGATGTCGTCTTCCAGACTTCACAGTCATCGGGCCAAAATAATCGACACCGAACATACCGTAAACGGTGCCTATATCGGGCTGTGAGCCCTTTCTTCTGGAAGATCCGCACACCTCGTATGCAATTCCGGTCGTTGTAGCCTGCGTTTGCACGTTAATGCACCTAACCGATAACAGACTTAACTGTTGCAGACCGTGATTATCCAAACTTTTGTCCGCAAACAATGGCCAGAATATTACTGGGCCCATGTGCGGATTCTGTTCATGACAGTTTGGTATCAGGATTCTTGTCACATGATGGACTACTCGGCAAGATAATTGAAGCTTAAGCATCTACGTGTATGGTCGGACATTGCTATCGTCCGCCGACTTCGCATTAACATTATCCTTTAATATAGGACAAATAGCCTTTTCAAGAGGCTCGAACTCGGAACTGGCCTCTGAAGCCTTTATTCACATATATCATATTTTCAAACGGCCTTAGTTTGAAGCTAATTTAAAAAATGGCTGTTTTGTGCCATTTTAATTTCCCCCACACTAAGGGGTTTACTACTTACCCTTACTGTAAAAGACTTTCGTCCTTTGGGGTAAGTATTTCTCAATTAAGAAACAACTTAAAACGTAGTAGCAAGCCGAGCTGCATTTTGAAGTTATGCCAGTCCGGAGAACTTACTAAAAGTAAACGTATTTCATACTCAACATATATACTTACCATGAGTGTTTAAGTACACTAGCCCCTGAGGGTTTGAGCTCTATGTCATCCCTCATTTACGGTTGCCATTACTCACCTGCGGCTGGCCACCCTGATTCATTCCTTTTAAGGAATTCGGGGCCATTCAAGCCAATAAGTCAAGCTTTTCAGTTTCTTTGCGGATTAACTCCCCTTACGCAATGTCAGCAGGGTTACTCCTT